TTTGTAAGGGTTTTTAAAGGGGTTTTGGGGGGCGTGAAAGAGGAGATGTGGAGCCCAAGTGGGAGAATTGCTGGCCTTCTCATGGTTCGCATCCTCGCTTCACACAACTGGGGGGGGGGGCTGGGCAGTTGCTCCTGCAGTCAGGTTTGTTTTGGGGGAAAAGTTGCCTGGTAGCCACGTGGGCCTCATGGAGCCGCTGCAGTGGCTCCAGCTGTTGCCGGGGCTTGCCTCGCCAAGCCTTTCGTTGGGCCAGGCCTTCTCCTTCCTTCCCTCTTTCCTTTCCTCAATCCCTCCCCTCCCCAAAAGAAAAAGGACTCTGCCTTCCTGCATGGAAAGGGACTCCATGGCGAGGCTTCTCTTCCCTCACAACGGTTGAGCTTAATTCTTGCGCAATGGGGAGAGGGCTTTTGTGCATGCTCTGTAAGGCTTTTTTTTTGGGGGGGGGGAGTTATTTCGCTTTAATTTTTACAGGTTTTTTTGTTTGAAAGATGTAGGTTGGATTAGAATGTGTTTCGGTGCCACATTTGGTATCAATTCGTCCAGTGGCTTTTGAGTTCTCTTAATCCCACAAACGAACATTACATTTTTATTTATATAGATAGATAGTTGCAGTCCAAATCCAGCAAGCCACTTTGCTGTGGTAGAAAACACCCTATAGCTGGATTCAATGTATTTTCTCAAAAATATACACAAGGGAGGAGGAGACAACAGCCAAAGACTCCATATGACAATCCTTATTTTTCAGTGAGGTCACAGTCCTTGACCTATAGATGTATCTTTGAGAGGTACAATTACACTAAAAAAGATGTGAGGTTGTTCCTTGGCATGTTATTCTATAATTAATGCAAGGATCTTATAATTTTTTTCTTGTTGGAAGAAGACCTGATGAGAAATAACCCATTACACGTTACTTCCAAAGTGTACCATAGAACTATCTTTCTTCTCTTGACACACATCTTGAAAGTTTAGTGCTTTCACTTGGACACAATTCAGAGTTTCAATCTATTTTAAAAAATCAATAGAAGGGGGTGAGTTCTTCCCTTCCTGTGGCACAGGCATTATTTAAGGGGACAGAGAGAAAGAGAGGGTTTTTTAAAAAAAATGAAGCTATTTTGTATGCATCTTTCGGCCACATGTCAATACAAGAAAGTTGACATGCTTATAATATAGAAACTCCTGCTGTAGCTGTTCAAACTTAAGTAAGAGATTCCTTTTTATGTCTTTCATCTCACTCAATATGTTCCAACTTAGTTTAACCGAACTCGCCCAAGTCTCTCCATGTGTTTCACATTTGGCCAGAGAGTTGTCAAAGAGAGGCTTAACATATTCTTCCGTTTCTTCCATAACACTTCTTCTCTCTACCAGATTTGGATTATATTTGTGTGCATTGCAATCAGGCGTCTTTTTCTTTTCTTAATAACCACTATGGAATGGCATGGCTGAGAAGACCAAAGGTTATCAAATCCAAGCCAAATCAAATTCCTCAACACTCTCATAATATTTATTTATTTATCGTGTCAGGAGCAAACCAAACAGCTGTATTGCATTTTTGTTTACAAACAAACAGACAAACATACAAAACACAAAGTTTGCAAGCCTGGTAGTTGATTAAATTTCCTTTGACCAGTATCTGGCCACTTGGATTGCCTCTGGTGTTACTATAAGAAGAAGAACCTCCATCGTGCATGTGGCAGGTTGCATTGCAGCAGATGGTTTGTAGTTTGCTCTTCTCCACACTCGCATGTCATGGATTCCACTTTGTAGCCCCATTTCTGAAGGTTGGCTCTGCATCTCGTGGTGCCAGAGCGCAGTCTGTTCAGCGCCTTCCAAGTCGCCCAGTCTTCTGTGTGCCCAGGGGGGAGTCTCTCATTTGGTATTAGCCATTGATTGAGGTTCTGGGTTTGAGCCTGCCACTTTTGGACTCTTGCTTGCTGAGGTGTTCCAGCAAGTGTCTCTGTAGATCTTAGAAAACTATTTCTCAATTTAAGTCATTGGTGTGCTGGCTGATACCCAAACAGAGGATGGGCTGGAGATGTCACTGCCTTAGTCCTTTCACTATTGATTGCTACTTCTCTGAGGATGTCAGGTGGTGTAATACTGGCTAAATAGTGTAATTTCTCCAGTGGTGTAGGGCACAGACACCCTGGGATAATGCGGCATGTCTCATTAAGAGCCACATCCACTGTTTTATTGTGGTGAGATGTGTTCCACACTGGGCATGCATACTCAGCAGCAGAATAGCATAGCGCAAGGGAAGATGTCTTCACTGTGTCTGGTTGTGATCCCCAGGTTGTGCCAGTCAGCTTTCGTATGATATTGTTTCTAGCACACACTTTTTGCTTGATGTTCAGGCAGTGCTTCTTGTAGGTCAGAGCACGGTCCAGAGTGACTCCCAGGTATTTGGGTGCTGCAATGCTCCAGTGGGATTCCTTCCCAGGTAATCCTCAGAGCTCAGGATGCTTGTCTGTTCTTGAGATAAAAAGCACATGTCTGTGTTTTAGATGGATTAGGGATCAGCTGGTTTTCCCTGTAATAGGCAGTAAGAGCACCTAGAGCTTCGGAGAGCTTCTGTTCAACCATCTCAAAGCTCCCTGCTTGAGCAGTAATGGCACGATCATCAGCATAGATGAAACTCTCTGTCCCTTCTGGCAGTGGCTGGTCATTTGTGTAGATGTTGAACATGGATGGGGCAAGCACGCTCCCCTGAGGCAGGCCGTTTTTCTGTTTCCGCCATCTGCTTCTCTGGCCCTGGAACTCAACAAAAAAGCTCCTGTTTTGTAGCAGGTTTCTTATGAGACGGGTAAGGTGGTAGTCCCATAATAATCCATGGCATAACCCACAGAAAAGTTTCCCCTTGACATTGTCTAGTCGTGTCTGACTGGGGGGTTGGGGCTCCTCTCCATTTCTAAGCCAATGAACCATAGACGCCTCCATGTGGCTGGCATGACTGCATAGAGCACCATTTACCTTCCTGCCGAGGTGGTACCTATTGATCTACTCACATTTGCATGTTTTCGAACTGTTCGGTCGGCAGAAAAAGGGGCTGACAGCAGGAGCTTACCCCGCTCCCCAGCTCTGAACCGCTGACCTTTCAGTCAACAAGTTCAATAGCTCAGCAGTTTAACCCGCTTCACTACTGGGGAGCCATATTATCTTTGCCGTAATCAAAGGGAAAAAAAGATAAATAATATATCCAATTAAAAGACAAGTAAAATGAAACAAGCACACTTTTAAAGTTTTAAAGCATCAGATCAGAGATTGTGGGCGCACATTTGGAATGAATTTACTCATATTTCTGGGTGTGCGGTTATCTAAGATATAATGATGCAACACCTAACCCATGTCTGCACCCCATATGTTTCTCCTCACTCTTCTTTTGACCTCTTCTTTTTTTTCCTTTTCTCTTTCCATATATATATATATATATATATAGTAAATTTATTTTAAAGGGCAACAGAATATAAATATTCAACTGTGAACATGCACAGACAGACTGGTGCAGACAATATATAGGCAAATAACTAAAACCGGATATTAAGAGAAGGGAATTAGTCAAGTTTTATAAAGGACATGACCCGAATCTTTGGACAAATTAATCTGAGTGTGCAAAACCCACAGTTTCTGAAAGCTCTAAATTTCAGAGGCAGACAATATCATGTATTGTCGACGGCTTTCATGGCTGGAATCACTGGGTTGTTGTAGGTTTTTTGGGCGATATGGCCATGTTCTAGAAGCACTCTCTCCTGACATTTTGCCTGCATCTATGGCAAGCATCCTCAGAGGTTGTGAGGACCACACAAACTCTGAGGATGCTTGCCATAGATGCAGGCGAAACGTCAGGAGAGAATGTTTCTAGAACATGGCCATATAGCCTGAAAAACCTAAAGGTAAAGGTTTTCCCCTGATATTAAGTCCAGTCATGTCCGACTCTGGGGTGTGGTGCTCATCTCCATGTCTAAGCCAAAGAGCCAGCGTTGTCCGTAGACACCTCCAAGGTCATGCGGCCAGCATAACCAATATTTTCATTTGCAGAAGCTCTAGTAAAGTAAGGTAAAGATTCTCCCCTGACATTAAGTCCAGTTGTGTCCGACTCTGGGGGTTGTTGCTCATCTCAGTTTCTAAGCTGATGAGCCAGGGTTGTCCATAGACACCTCCAAGGTCATGTGGCCAGCATAACCAATATTTTCATTCGCAGAAGCTCTAGTAAGGTAAATTAAAGGTTCTCCCCTAACATTAAGTCCAGTCGTGTCCGACTCTGGGGGTTGGTGCTCATCTCCATTTCTAAGCCAAAGAGCCAGCATTGTCTGTAGACACCTCCAAGGTCATGTGACCAGCATAACCAATATTTTCATTCGCAGAAGCTCTAGTAAGGTAAGGTAAAGGTTCTCCCCTGACATTAAGTCCAGTCGTGTCCGAATGTGGGGGTTGGTGCTCATCTCCATTTCTAAGCCAAAGAGCCAGTGTTTTCCGTAGACACCACCAAGGTCATGTGGCCAGCATAACCAATATTTTCATTTGCAGAAGCTCTAGTAAGGTAAGGTAAAGGTTTTCCCCTGACATTAAGTCCAGTCGTGTCCAACTCTGGGGGTTGGTGCTCATCTCGGTTTCTAAGCTGATGAGCCAGCATTGTCCGTAGACACCTCCAAGGTCATGTGGCCAGTATGACTTCATGGAGTGCTGTTACCTTCTTGCCAGAGCAGTACCTATTGATCTACTCACATTTGCATGTTTTCGAACTGCTACGATGGCAGAAGCTAGGGTTAATAGTGGGAGCTCACACTTCTCCCCAGTTTTGAACCTTTCGGTCAGCAAGTAGCTCTAGTAAGTCCATGACGCTGTTTGTGGAAAAACAATATAGTTTGCAGTAGGTTTTCCACAGCAACGTCTCCTCTCTAGTTTAAGCAGCGAACCAAGGAACTCAACCCAAGCAAGAAAATAAACAGTCAGGTTGTTAGAGCATGTTTTCCAACACATGTTGCATTAATCTTTTGAAGCATTACCAGTTGATGGAAGCCATCATCTTCAGGCGTCAAATATGGAAGCCGGCTTTCTCCAAGTTCATCAAGGAGCTTCCGTTTCTAAAGATACAAAAACAAACATTGCACATTGAGTTATTCAAGAGCCTTAGCAGACCTGGAAGTCATTTGAACTGCTGTACATTCTCATCTACGGCAGCTTCTGTGTTTTCAACACTTCCCTTTCTTCCTTTAAAAACACATACACACACACACACACACACACACAAACTCCAAGTAAATGTACATTGCAACCTCGATGCATTTTACTTTTGGGGACCTTTGAGTGTACTTTGAGGTTGTTTTTTTAAAGTCAGATTTTTGTTGTGTAAACGAAAGCTAAAACAAAATTTCCCATTTCTGATACAGTTCTGTCACAACCCTGCCCTCTTTTTCCATCTCTGGTTTTGTTTCACGTTCTTTTACTTATCTTTAATTTTTGTGTCGTGTTACAAGACTAATGGATTTTCAAACTTTTCTTTTTCTTTCACACAGCCTCTGCCAGCTCAGAAACCACCAGAGAGAAAGGAAAAATGCTACCCCGAAAGCACTCATTCCTCCATACCAATCAACATGGCCTTTGCCTTGTGCAGACTGAGAATTACACACTAAAAGAAAGCCTATCTGCCGTCATTTACATACCAACCAGACGTTCTCTTCAATGAAAGAAATCAATATATTGTTCCAATTGAACCAGAATAATGCAAATAGTTGTATAAGGGAATGGGGAAAACGGAATAAGGTGATAACAAGGTAATTAGTAAAAACTAGTAGCACAGACAGGAGGAACTGGAGGTCAGAGTGGATAATAAATGACATCCAATAAGCTGCCATCTACTTACTTACTTAGATGATCCCTCGTTGTCTGAGTAGGATAGTCTTCCAAGATCAGTGTACTGGTGGGTCCGTAGGTGACTGTGGAGCTCTATTCTTGACCTGCATCTTCTCCCGCAGTGAGGGCATTGGTTTCCAGGTGGAAGGTAGTCCTGGTTGGGGTTGGCTTGATGCGCCTTCCTCTTGGCATGTTTCTCTCTTTTGCCCTTCATTTGTGCCTCTTCAAATTCTACAGCACTGCTGGTCACAGCTGACCTCCAGCTGGAGCGCTCAAGGGCCAGGGCTTCCCAGTTCTCAGTGTCTATGCCAGAGTTTTTAAGGTTGGCTTTGAGCCCATCTTTAAATTTCTTTTCCTGTCCACCAACATTCCATTTTCTGTTCTTGAGTTCGGAGTAGAGCAACTGCTTTGGGAGACAGTGGTCGAGCATCCAGACAATATGGCCAGTCTAGCGGAGTTGCTGGCAAAGGACTATCACTTCAATGCTGGTGGTCTTTGCTTCTTCCAACACGCTGACATTTGTTCACTTGTCTCCCCAAGAGATTTGCAGGATTTTCCACATGCAGTGCTGATTGAATCGTTCCAGGAGTTGCATGTGACGTCTGTAGACAGTCGACGTCTTGCAAAGACAGCATGATGCTTCAGATAAGATTAGAAAAGCTGATAGTGATGCCCTGATCTAGATCAGTGGTTCTCAGCCTGGGGTCCCCAGATGTTTTTGACCTTCAACTCCCAGAAATCCTAAATCCTCATCTGAGCAATGGTGTTGTGCCTCTGCTTGTAGTCTGTCTGCGCAATCTTCTTGCAGCAGCTGATCTATTGTTTTATCTGCTTCCTTGCAGAGTCTACATTTGGGATCTGTTGTTGACTTTTTAATTCTGGCTTTGATGGCATTAGTTTGAATGGCTTGTTCTTGGGCTGACAGAATCAGACCCTCCGTCTCCTTTTTCTGAGTTCCAGAGTTTCAGAATTGTTGTTGTTGTTATTATTATTATTATTATTATTATTATTATTATTATTATTATTGGAGCTTAGTGGAGTTTGGAAGTTCAAGGTCAGAGGTGGATTGAGACCAAGTTATCTCCCTCCTGTTTTGTTTCCCTTCCCTCTGTTTTTTCCAAAAGCGCTTTGGACCAACTCCTTCAACAGCTCAGTTTTTGAACATGAACCAAGTCGCACTGACTAATCCATCCCACACTTCCTTACTCGCTGATCCTAACCGGACTGACAACCCACGCATTAAAATTTATAAAATAGACATGTAGCCCGATCTCTTTGAGTTTACAGTTTATACAGCCTTCCTTGGAGACGCATTATAAAACTGACGTGGAGTCACTGGTGAAGCCAAGTGGAATGTAACTTTAGATTAAGTTGGCAGGCAACCCATTAGTCTACTGTGTGATTTCCAAGCTGCTCCAATGGTTTTTATATATGTATACATATAAAGAGAGAGAAGCTGTATGAGTATTATTTATGGCACTAAACACCCTGAAACGATTAGTCTGGGTTTTGCTAAGCTTGAAATGGAGCTGAGCAAAACTCATTTTTTAAAAGGCTATGTTCTTGTTTATACACTAAAAAGATGTTGAGCTGATGGAGAAAATATTTCAAACGCACAGGGGTAGCTATATATATATATATATATATATATATATATATATATATATATGCTGACAATTTCGATGTCAAATGTTAAGCTCTTGGCAAAAGCACGCAGCATTAAAATGCACTCTGGAGTGGAGGTAGTATCAGCTCACGTTTGATTGTCAGATCTGACTAAGCGGACGCTCCCTTGCTTGATGTGCAGACAAATACACACACAGCTGGGGGGGAAACACACACAGCTCCTCTCATATACAGCGAGCTGTCACACACATGTCAAATGCATCAAGCTCCTTGCAAATTCCTCCAAAACAAAACAAAAAAGGGGGAAATAAGAAAAGAGGAGGAGGAGGAGGAAAAGGCAAGGAAAAAAGAAAGTCAGTTTCACCCAACTAGCTGCTATGAGGGAGTTAGAATTGTTTGGTATTTCCAGAAATTGCAACAGGTAAAGACACGGAATTGCAACAGGTCAAAGACAATGGTGTATCTATGGGAGTGTGCTGAGGGGCAAGAATGTCCATTTCCCTAGTTAGCGAGAAGCTCGGCTGGCATATCAATGTTCACTTTCATTTTTGTCATTTTTGTCAAGGCTACATAGCATGGACGTGAAATATACCACACCAGTTTCTAAAAATGGGTGAAGATATTCCCTCCTCACCTCTGTAAATAGGACCATTAATGGGAAAGCCAAGAAAAGACATGTGCTGTTGTATCCCAGAGCAGAAACACCTCTGTCCTTAAACACCAGTATAGTAAAATCAGCAAGCAGTTTATTGAAGGATATATGAAGGCAAAGCAATAAAAAATTATAGAAACAGTGTAGTCCAAAACAGTATGATAGTTCATCAACTTCAGGGTACAAAGGTAAAAACACTAGATCCAAAGATGCAAAACCCAAAGGAACAAGACAGCATGGAGATCCAATGCCTAGAACAGAAACCTAGCCAAACTTGAAACGCGAAACTAGAAATCCACTTGGAAACAAGACCGTCATGAAACTCCAACATTGATGACACTAAGCTAAAATCCTTTCCTTGTATCATATAAAGCTTCTCCTGTCCCACAAACCAAAAGGAAAGCATTCCGCTTGCCCTTACAATTACATAAGGATTTATTATCTCTCTTTTCTAGCAGATGGACTGACCTTTGCCAATCTTGAAAACTTAGTCTTGGTTTATAAAAGTTTTGTTTTCTGTCTTCAAATTCATTAAATTCTGCACCTGTCATGATGCCAGGGCTCTGCCTTATTCAGGTAGAGATGAACCAAGCAAACACCCAGTTTGTATCAAACAGTTGAATTAAAACAGCACTTACTTTCTGGCTGTTTTAATAGTCCAAAATATAAAACATAAAGATAGCACTCAGCCACAGAATAAAAGAAAACTGATAGCAAAAGCTACACCATAGTCAAAGGATCCAGTCCAGCAGTCAAATGCCGAGAGTTCAATGAGCAAAGTTCTGGGATCAAGAATCTATACCATAGTCAAAAGGTCCAATCCAGTGGTCAAACGCCGAGAGTTCAATGAGCAAAGTCTAGGGATCAAGAGTCTATTCCGTAGTCAAAAGCCAGTCCAGAGATTCAAGGTTCCAGGATTCCAAGAATATAGGAGGCAGGTCAGGATACCGAAAATCCACAAACTTGGGGGTAAGCCAGCAGGATCTACCACCAAAATAAGACAAATACTTTTCTCCCAAAGATCAGTCCCAAGGCTAGCTCATTATATTCAGAAACACCCAGCTGCAACCTATCTCTTGCATACCTCCACCCTTAATTGCTTTCACCCATGAACTCTTACTTACAGATTACTCAACCCTGTAGAACTAAGACTCACATTAACCCTTCCATGACCAACTGCTAGGCCTACCACCACCAACCACCATCAACTGCAGAACATGATACATGACAGCAGCTGACAAATCATCCCCAAAAGACAGTTTCTCAGAGAAAGACTTCTGTGGGCCCTTCTCGGGAATTTGAACTTGGGAATCTACAGGAGAAGCACTCCAATCATGAGAGTCCTCAGGCTTGACTCAGACCCAGAAAAAACTCTCATCCCTGCTGATATCATACACAATCACTGGCTGAACTACAACATGTGCTAGAATTGCTCAAAATGGTCTTTCTCAATCTCAGTTTGAAAAATTATTTTTAGAAAGAGATTATTGGAAGCTATTGTATCAAAGCAGAAGGAAGAATAGAGGTACAATTTGTAAAGCACTTCAAATTCAAAAGTTTCTGGAGACTTTTTTAAAAAAAATCTCTCTCTCTCTATTGACTTGTTTATTGTCTCAACACTCAGACACGAGGAACATTTGGATCATGTTAAACTCTTCCAACACTGTTTGGCGATGCCACTTAGATCCCTATGAAACTGGTATTAAAGTTGCGATGGTTCTGCAAAATTAAACAAAAGTATCCCTTCTTAAATTATGATAACAATGTAATTCATGTATCCTTTTGTTAATGCAAACATTGAACTGCAAGAAACTCATTACGTTATTTTGACTAGTTAATGTTACTTCTAAGCTCTATTCCAGGATTAATAATAACAACACAAATAGTGGCCTCAATCCAACAGGACCATAGGTGGAAAGAAAATTACCGAGCACTTGGAGATGTTGCTGTTGT